ATGAAATTGTCTGCTCTTCTCCCCATTGTCTTTGTTGTACCTGCACATGTACGAAGAGTTTAGGGGAAAGAATCTCTGTTGATCCCAAAGAGCTCGAAAAAGTCAGACCTTGCCAGAAACCGGTTACTCTGGTCATCCAGAACTACATATATCCTCTTAGCTTTTTCATGGGAGTTAGATGGGTAAACATCAACCAAACAGATTTTCGAGCATGATCTAGGTCTGGGAGCTTTGCCACAGATTTCTGTGCACTTAGAAGTAACCTCAGATGTTACATCACCTTCAGGCTCCCCGCTTTGCTCATGCTGTGTTACTGGAGATTCCACTGCCCATGGAGCAGGCCCTGGGTGCATTGCAGAGACATGCGATCACTGTTACACTCTCTACATTTAACAGCTGCTGCACTGGATGCTATGTGTTTAGTGGAACTGCAACATCTGAAGCAGATAGACTGTTCTTTGTGGTACATTTTTTCTTTTATCCAGGGGTTTTCCTCCAAAACTTTGACAACGGATGTGGCTTATTGTGAATTGGACATTGCTTACCAGGATCTGGAGGGTGGTTGGCACTTCTGTTTTCCTCACTGACACAGGTATTTTTTTGCTGACCCATGAAAATTTCTCCTGTTTAGGATGGCACTGCATAGATAGCGAAAAACTGGGATAATTTCTTATTCTTGCTTGGTCGCAAATTAACCGCTCAAAGAAGCCAAATGGTGGAAATTAAACATGATAATCCTCTTTATACTTAGCACCAAGACTGATCCATCTTTCCTGCAGATTAAAGGGAAGCTTCTCAATGATGGGATTGACTCCCCTTGCTGTGTCAAGAATTGCTAAACCAGGTAAATGTCCGCCTTACTTTGCAGATTTCAATTCCATAAGCATGTCTCCTAACTCCCTGAATCTTTCTCCATCTCTGTTAGAAATCTTTGAAAACTCCTCCAGTTTTCTCAGCAATGCGTTCTCAATTACTTCTGGGCACCCATAAATCTCTTCCAATCGCTGCCAAAGCATACTGACACCTGCTATAGGATAGTGCGTATGAACCAATCTGATCCGTTTGGCTTGCATGGATGACTCCAGGCCGAGCCATTTTGTGAGAAGGTCAAGCTCTTCTCTGACTGTTAGTCCGAGGTCTTTTGTGACATTTTGAAAAGAGGATTTCCAGGCCCAGTAGTTCTCGGGGTGATCATCGAACTTCACAAGACCAGAACTCACAATCTCTTTTCTTACCATGTAGTTAGCTAAATCCGATGTATATGGCAGACTAACCATGGGAGCTTTAAAACTGGGAGCTGGATATGCTTGGAAAGTGGAGTGATGTCCATGATCTTTATCTCTCTGGTTATCCATTGTCTCCTGTTTTATTTTTAATTCCTCCATTCTATAAGATGGTTATACATGTGGAGATGTTACTGTAGCTTTACACTGAAGGGGTTCAGCATTCCTTAAGGATGACTGTAGAATCGGCGTATCGGGAAACTGCTGCTGATGTTGTTCCACTGTATGCTTCTGAACATGCTCCTTAGTACGCTGAGTGCGAACTGAGTGTGTCTCATGGTCCAATTCATCTATATTTCCCTCCGCAATGTCAGCTGCTGCTTCAATAAACGCTGAAGTTGCTTCTTTTTGAGATTGTAGCAAGAATAGATCTGATTCTACTTCTGCTTTTTTCTCATCATAGCTGCTTCTCTTTCTGCATAAGACGCTTTAGCTCGAGCTGCTTCTGCTTTAGCTCGAGCCCGAGTCGCTGCCACACTGACTGATGACCGACTTGATCTTTATGACTTCCAGCAAGAAGCTTGTGATCTAATCTAAAAGGCTTGAGAGATATCTTTCTCATCACTGTGTGATTCCATACTTGCTGCTGAAGAGATGTGCAATGCAATGTAAAGATGGCCGTGTAATTCCATTCTCTTAACCCGCTGTGTCAATGTCTTTTTACTATTCTGTTCTGACCAATTGCGTAGCTTGAGCAAAGGCTTAACAGATAGCGCACACTTTCAGAAAAGTACTCCAGAAAGCAGTCTAAATAACTTTAGTGACTTTACTGGTGATTGTTCTTCTCAATTATTTTATGTAAAACTACAAACATACAAACAAAAAAATAAGTATGAACATTATGTACACATTTACATACACAACCAGCTTAACATTACAGATTGATTTCGTACATAGTTCCTTTTTTAGCATTATTTAAAGTAATGTACGTCAAGAAATTATATTAAAATGAGTTTATGTACAAACAGAAGATAAATTTGCAGTACGCTTAAACAAGTTACGCTACCAATAACGCAAATCATGTCTGTTTATAACAAAATATAGCAATAATCCCGATCTACACTTTACTTTAGTCTACACAACACTTAAAAGCACTATTTAGTATAAAATTGAGCACTTACAGACATATACAGGTGCAACTCAATAAATTAGAATGTCATGGAAAAGTTCATTTATTTCAGTAATTCAACTCAAATTGTTAAACTCGTGTATTAAATAAATTAAATGCACACAAACTGAAGTAGTTTAAGTCTTTGGTTATTTTAATTGTGATTTCTGCTGACCAGCTTTTTGAAAATGCACTTAAAGTTGGTTAAATGACCATGGTGTTGGTGTGCTTGACTGGCCAGCAAACTCACCAGACCTGAACCCTATAGAGAATCTATGGGGTATTGTCAAGAGGAAAATTAGAAACAAGAGACCAAAAAATGCAGATGAGCTGAAGGCCACTGTCAAAGAAACCTGGGCTTCCATACCACCTCAGCAGTGCCACAAACTGATCACCTCCATGCCACGCCGAATTGAGGCAGTAATTAAAGCAAAAGGAGCCCCTACCAAGTATTGAGTACATGTACAGTAAATGAACATACTTTCCAGAAGGCCAACAATTCACTAAAAATGTTTTTTTTTATTGGTCTTATGAAGTATTCTAATTTGTTGAGATAGTGAATTGGTGGGTTTTTGTTAAATGTGAGCCAAAATCATCACAATTAAAAGAACCAAAGACTTAAACTACTTCAGTCTGTGTGCATTTAATTTATTTAATACACGAGTTTCACAATTTGAGTTGAATTACTGAAATAAATGAACTTTTCCACGACATTCTAATTTATTGAGATGCACCTGTATTTCCAAGGTTTAAACGATGGAATCTATAGCCCATAGGAACTGCATGCACGTTCTTCTTGACTGTGTTCAGTGCTTAAACATAAGCAACAGCACACTGATGTTACCACCGAAAACACACTGGAGGCAGCCCAACCTGAGAAGCTGCTAAGAAGAGACCAAGGAAGCCTACTTAAAACCCAAAATTACTGGGCATGCTACAATCTTCATAAAAAGAAATAGCCATCAAAGGAAACCGTTCTAAAACAAGTACATCTTTGATAGACTTCTGCTTAGGATAAGCAACAAGAGGAGCTCAAAACATAAACGTTCTACTCCTCCCGTGCCCCGCCTACAACCCCCATGCTCGATCCCACCTCACCACAATGGCAGCCACGGGAACTGAATCACGGAGTCTAGGAGCTCAACTCTCATCCCTCGAGAGAGAGTTAAGCCTGGGTGGAACCGATTATTGACTGCATCAAACAACACGCATTTAACTCCCTCGAGAGCTAAGCTTGCCTAGTTCAAGTGTCACTATAATCCCCTCGAGAGCCAGAAATGCTTGTGCAAACTATCCATAGGGAGAGAACCGAAAGAAAGGAACTTAATTTCAGATTTTATTAATGATTTGAAATATGTCATTTATTTGTGAGTTAATTGGGCAGTTTTTGAGATTTCAGGATTCCCCCACTCATTTAGACAGGACTTGGTCTTGGATCAGCTGCCCAGCGGTGTTGCAAATATGGCCGCAGAGTGAAAAGACTTTCCTTGAAATGGACTCTGGTAAAAGGCAAAGCTTTACATCTGCTCTCAGTAGCCCCACGAATGCATCACCATGAGTGCATCCCGCTGTCTCGTGAGTCAAACCATAGACTGTAAAAAAGATGACACACCTTCACTCTCTTCCATTCCTCCACTCCCGCAGAATCAATCACAAGCACACGCCCATGACCCTTTTTAGTTAGCCTGACTGCTCCAATTTTTGTCTGCTGATTGCCGTTCAAGAGGCATGTGTTAAAATAAGCTAAATACAATTTGTCTCACGTCCCATTAGATTACATGGTGAGGGTGGGGTTTATGACCTATACTGGGACCAGCCACCTGGGGGTGATCGAAACGTTTTGGCTTCACTTTTCAAGACTTGTGTGGCACACTTGAGTCAAACACGCATTCACACTTATTCATAATCGGCGCATTCAATTCCCTCGAGAACTGAACGCGCATGCTCCTCGCTCATGCACAAAATGCATCAATCATGCATGCCATCAGGTCCTCAAAAGGAGGCAAGCACTAACTAAAATGCTTTGTAGAGTGTGTCCTACATGTACGCAAACAAACGGATCATGAAGACAAAAGAAGCTGAAAGAATGCACGTCGCATTTCAGGCACCCTCTTATACTTCCGGGCACTCTGCTAATGACGTCACGGGCTGTGTGTGTAATGATTAGGAGTGTTTTCAAACATGCTTCAGATACCAGTCATACTGATGGGATTCCCGAAAGTGTCCCCTAGGGGACGCAGTGTGGAACTATTTTTGTGTAGGTCATTGGAGTTGGACTTTTCACCTAGTTCTCACAGAACATATACTGCATATTTGTTTTATTTAAAAAAAACAATGATTATTTAACAGATTATTTAAGACATCACCAGTCTGTACAACTTAATCATGGATATTTATGTCAGATAACTGTCATCTACATGTATTAAAGCATGAATGTTTAACTAAATGTCTGATTCCCTCTGAACATGAGAAGGAGACATATGGATGTCAAAGGAGCACTTGTTTTGATGACAACCAATGGCAGATGGAAGGGTCACAAAACTGTACATTAACTACAGCATCAGACCCACTGGCCGTAACAGCATAAGGACATAATGAAGGACAATTACCTCTCCATCTTTTGACTCCAGGCGTAAATCACTCCTACAGGTTGCTTGAAAATCACCTGCGTCAGCTTCTATTTTCACTCCTTTAGGCGCCTCCATGAATAGCGAACGTGTAGGAGACTCCAGCCTGAGCAGAAGACATAACACAATATATATTATCTACGTAAGACCTTCAAATCATTTCAAAATAGCCCACAAATGTTATAGCAATGAAGCAGATGATTTCAAAGGGGGGCTTTGCAAAGAGAAATATTTCCTGGAGAAAATGCATTTTATGGCATGTCATTTCTATCATACACACACACACATCTTCAAGACACTTGAAGAAACCTTCCCACAAAGGTACCTGGAAAACTATGTGCAAGTGGACCTAGGACAAAACCTGTTTTAAACGCAAAGGGTGGTCACACCAAATATATTGATTTGATTTAGTTAATAGAATTGATTAATTAATAAAGAAAATCTATTTATGACATTATTTTTTAACACTCTCACTTTGCAGCATTTTTACAGAAATGCCTACAACTTTTCACAGTACTGTAGCTTTGCAGTAAGGTTTCTTCAAGCATCTTGGAGACATTGCCACAGTTCTTCTGGATTGTGTCTGTCTCAGTTTTTTTTTTCTGTTTCTTCATGTCATTATAGACAGACTGGATGATGGTGAGATCAGATCTCTGTGTGGAGCATACTGGCTGTTGTTATAACAAATATTTTTATTTTAATAATAAAAATATTATGTTTGCATAGTATGCTTTTAATTACGAATGATTTTGCATAAGATACAAATAACTGGTAATCTGATTTGATGCAAGACACATAGTAAAACACAAACTGCTATAGTTAATGAGCTACAGTATATAGGAGATCTTAGCACGTTGGTAGGTGAGGCAAAACTAAGGAGTGGAAAAGTATGAATCTAAGCAAGGTCAATCTTTTGCAAATTACCAATAACAATAGGAAAGATAAGGAGACCTAACTTAGAGATTTAAATGAGAAATGAATAAGAAAAAGAACACCTAAAAAGTGGCAGAATGTTACAGCTCAAGAAATCAAATCAAATCTCTTTATTGTCACACATTGTGTACACAAGTGTAACAATGGGGAAATTCTTGGGTACAAGACTCTGTGCCATGGCAGTACAAGCAACAAGATATGAAAAATTAACAGTATACATAAATAACAATATACACATTTACACAATATACACATTTTTCACAATAGACAATTGTACACGATATACACATTTCCATAATATACACATAGTACACAGTATACTCAAGAGACTTATAAATGTATAGCTTTTATATATGACTTACAGTGATGTATACTGTAGTGTTTTACTGTGAAGTTCAGTGCAGTAGTTTGTTAGTGCAGAAGAGAAGATGGAGCTGCATGTGTTCTATGCTATGCAGTGAAAGACATGCTACAGTGCTGTCAGAGTCAGTGTGGCTGGTGTCTAGATGGAATCCAGTGTGAGGGGTAGGGGTAGGTGGGTGGTTATCGTCTTGCTATCTGGAGTTCAGTAGTCTGATAGCCTGCGAGAAGAAGCTGTCTCGCGTTCTGCTGGTTCGGGTCCTGATGCTGCGGTACCGTCTGCCTGATGGTAGCAGTGAGAAGAGTTCGTGGCTCGGGTGGCAGGGGTCTCTGATGATCTTCCGTGCTTTCCTCACACATCTCTGGGTGTAGATGTCCTGGAGGGAGGGAAGCTCACCTCTGACGACGTGCTGGGCTGTTTGAACTATTGTCTGCAGGGCTTTCCGGTTGAGAGCGGTGCAGTTCTCGTACCAGGCAGTGATGCAGCAAGTCAGGATGCTCTCCACAGTGCAACTGTATAACTGTCTGAGCTCAGACCAAATTTCTTCAGTCGCCTGAGGAAGAAGAGACACTGGTGGGCCTTTCTCACTACTGACTGTGTGTGAGTAGTCCAGGTGAGGTCCTCGGTCATGTGAACGCCGAGGAACTTGAAGCTGCTGACCCGCTCCACTGGAGTCCCGTCGATGGTGATGGGGGAGTGCTCACTGGTCCGTCTCCTGAAATCCACCACCAGCTCCTTGGTCTTCTTGATGTTCAGAGAGAGGTGGTTGTTTTGGCACCAGTTAGTCAGGGTGCGCACCTCTTCTCTGTAGGCTGATTCACCATCGACAGTAATCAGGCCTACCACGTTGTGTCATCAGCAAATTTGATGATGCCGTTGGAGCTATGCGTGGCTACACAGTCATGCGTGTACAGGGAGTACAGGAGGGGAATGAGAATGCAGCCCTTTGGGGCTCCAGTGTTGAGGGTCAGCATAGAGGAGATGTTGCTGCCAATTCTGACCACCTGCCATCTGCCTGTCAAGAAGTCCAGGATCCAGCTGCACAGAGAATTGTTCAGACCCAGAGCCCAGCCACAAGCTTAGAGGGCTATGGTATTAAACGCTGAGCTGTAGTCAGCAAACAACATTCTCACATATGTGTTCCTCTTGTCAAGATGGGAAAGGGCAGTGTGCAGGGTGAAGTCAATTGCATCATCTGTGGAGCGGTTATTGTGCAGTAGGCAATCTGCAGTGGGTCGAGTGATGCTGGTAATACAGAGCAGATGTGATCTCTGATAAGCTTCTCAAAGCACTTACTGATGATGGGAGTCAGAGCAACAGGGCGCCAGTCATTCAAGCAAGAAGCTTTGGGTGTCTTTTGTATTGGCACAATGGTGGATGTTTTGAAACAACAGATAGGGAAAGGGAGAGGTTGAAAATATCCGTGAAGGCTCCAGCTAGTTGGTGAGTGCTTGTTTTAAGGACTTGACCACGAATGCCATCTGGACCTGCAGCTTTGCGGATATTCACGCGCCGGAGCGATCGGGTAACATCCGCTACAGACACGGAGAGTGGACGAGCCTCAGCAGTCTCGGCCGCGGGAGCGCTCTGTGTAGGGGAGGAGCCGCTGACTTCGAAGTGAGCATAGAATAAGTTGAGCTCGTCAGGCAGTGAGGAAGCGGTGTTTGTAGCAGGGTGTTTGCGATCCTTGTAGTCCGTGATGTTGTAGAGTCCTTGTCACATGTCTCTGTAGTTGGAAGTCGTGAACTGTGCTTAAATTTTATCTTTGTATTGGTGTTTTGCGGTCTTGATGGTTTTGCGGAGGGCATAGCTGGCTTGCTTATAATCATCAGCATTAAATTAAAGGCAGAGGTTCGAGCATTAAGAGCAGTGCGAACATAAGCGTTAATCCACAGTTTCTGATTCGGGTAGGTTCTGATTGTTTTGGTTGGTACAATCTTCTATGCACTTCCTTATGAAGCACGTGACGGTATCTGTGTAAACATCGATGTCGTCATCGGATGCAGCCCGGAACATATCCCAGTTGACGTAATCAAAACAGTCCTGTAACATAGAATCCGATTGATCCGACCAAAGCTGAATTGTCCTGAGGGCGGGTGTTTCCCGTTTCAACTTCTGCCTGTAAGCAGGCAGGAGCAGAACGGAAGAGTGATCTGATTTGCTGGTGGGTGGGGGAGGGACTTGTAAGCATTCCGGAAGGGGGAGTAACAGTGGTCCAGAATCCGATCTCCACGTGTGTTGCATGATATGTGCTGGAAGAATTTTGGTGCAATCCTCCTAAGATCGGCTTTGTTGAAATCCCCGGTTATAATAAATGCAGCGTCAGGGTATACGGTCTCCTGTTTGCATAAATGCCGATACAGTTCCTTGAGTGCTACATCTGTGTCAGCCTGAGGGGGGATGTAAACAGCTGTAATGATGACCACTGTGAATTCCCTCCGTAACCAAAGCGGCCGTCACAGAAGCGTGAGGTATTCCAGGTCAGGAGAACAAAGAGATTGTATAAGATGTACATTCTTTCGATCGCACCATGAGTTGTTGATCATGAAGCATAAAATTCCTCTTTTGCTTTTCTCTGAGAGATCCGGTATTCTGTCCGCGCAATGCACAGAGAATCCCGTGGGTTCGATGGCAACGTCTGGTACCTCTTGAGACATCCAGGTTTCTGTGAGGCAAATAATAGAGCAGTCCCTGATCTCATGCCAGAAAGAAAATAAAGTTTATTGTCCAGGGACTGGACGTTAGCCAGTAGTATACTTGGAAGTGGTGGTCGGTCTGCACGGTGTCTTAATCTGACGAGGACGCCGGCTCTCTTTCCTCTCCTCCGGCTCCGTTTTCGACGTCGCGTTCTGGCCCAAACAAAGGGCTCCACAGTGTTGTTTATAAACAATGGGTCGGTGTTGAGGAATTTAAAGTCCGGTTTGTGGTGAGTAATTGTAGAACCAATATCCAGACGTGTTTCTCTGTTGTAAACAATTAGGGAGACAACATCCAGAACAAGAAACATCCAAATTACATACAAAACAACCAAAAAGCTGCCAGTTTGGGTCGGAGCTTGCAACACGATGGCCATACTCGGCACCATCTTGGCTGTAGATTTGAAAGCTGCTTGGAATTTAAACGATACACATCGCAGAAAATTTAGGATCATTCATGGAACATCAAAGCATCTTTCAGTATCCCGAACCCGGCAGTCTTTTGAACTTTTGAATTTTAAACAGTCAGCATCTGCGAGTCAGTATTCACAGTGAAGTGGAGCAGCAACGCAGTATTTACAACACTGTTCCAGAACATTTCAACCCAAATATTCAGATGTGTGCAGCACATTTTATGGAGGACTATTTCCTGATCCTGGTAGAGTAGACTACAATGCCGGCTGTTCTGACTCACAGACAACTTTGCAGGACAGTCGATCGCCAGGAGCAGGGTTGGGCACCCCTGATGTACAGTATGTGGAAAATAATGTGTTTTTTTAACCTTGAACCGCATAAACACATTTCATTACACCAAATACACAAAATAATGTTCTTTTAACAACATCATATGACCCCTTTAAACAATTCAAGTAAAATGGTTTCTATTCCACCAAATGGCATTCTTCAAACATGCATCACCTTTATGGGACATGAACACATCCTTAAGTTAGATCCTTCCTTTTTAACAAAAGAATAACAACAACAAGAAAAAAATATAAATAATTGAATCACACAAACCTTGTACATTATTAATCTGTGTGAGTGTGTGTGTGTGTGTGTGAGAGAGAGGTGATTTGAATGAGTGTGATTTATTAATATTTGTGAGTGAATGTGTGT